TCAACTCGTTTACCTTTGTGTATCCTTCTGCAGCTCGTTTCTTATTTTTTGTCACACTTTGTAAATCGGATAAACCTCTTTGAGAATTTGTTACATTTGCTTCAATACCCTAGTCAAAATTGAGAATTTTGAAAACTTTAGAATCAGCAATACTAGTTGAATAAATCCCAGAAATAATTTGGTAAAAAGTCTTCAATTACCTCCTCATTATCTTTGTCATCAGCTCTGTGTCTGCTAGTATCACCTCCATTGTCATTATTTATGATGTTTTGTAACTGTCTTGGGAAAAAAGATTGAATCTTGGTGTAATAGGCGATGAAACCTATACAAGCATAACAACAGAGATGAGATATAGCACTCAATTTATCAATGTAAACTGTCTTGGAAAAAAAATTAAAAAAATATAACAGATTGGTGTTTCTACTTTACCTCAGGGTTTTTTTCTCACCACAATCTGCAGTTGCCATACGAGATATATCATTATTACAGCCATTTGAAGCGTCATCGTCGCCAAGTATCTGTATCTTCATTGAATCCAACAGAAAAACATAAACCAACAAGCATTATAAGAAATTAATTTTTGGATTCAAACAAGGAGTAAAGATGAATCATCTTTACCTTCAACAACGGTTGTAGTTTCCTCGTCGCCAAGATCTTGTGTTTCTTAAACCAAAACTTCTGTTTCTTCATCGCCAATACCAACAGAACTAGCATTTTTAGCATTAACACCACCAACAAAATCAGCTGTTTCTTCAACAACATCATGTTTTTGTGTATTATCATCATCGGCAGCATAACTGTCATCTGAATTTGCTTCACGCCGAGAATTCTCTGACTCTGTATCTTTCTGCACGCCATCTTCAGAAACATTTTCATTTTCCTATAAAGAAAAGAATCAAACAATGCTTAATCGTCAGAATCAAACATCTTCATAAATATTTTTATACTCTCTATTTTTTTATCTCTGATCGCTTGCCATCTGCTTCGTTTTCTTCTGGAATCCCTAAGACTTGCTGGATGATCTTCACTTTCTTGGTCAAGATCACAAGCATATTGAGTATCTTGTCAAGTTTTTCACTGTCAGTAAAAGGAGGAGACTATGGTGTTGTTGTAGGCTCTGCGTTTCTTGCTTGCTGTGTCAATATGTATTCAGATGCAGTAACAACATATAACATGCCACTTATGCAGTCGGCTCTCCTCAATCTGTAGCCTTGCCTGACTAGTTTCACAACCGCTACAAAGTCCTTGTCTATAGGATTCGTTGGTGGAACCAGGTTCTTATATTCCTCTGGATTTCCAACAACAGTATTAACTACAACCTGCAAACGCATAGCAAATACAATTTTTTTGTAAAGCTTTATTATTGCATCAAAAACAGTATCTACAATCAAATAAACTGAGAATCACTTACATTTTTTATCTGCTCTACACAAAAAACTTCTGAAATAGAAGGAGTCCGAGTGGCTTTCCACTGTAAACACAACGGGCCTGCAAACAAGCTTGAATCAAATCGACTCCCAAATGAAGTACCTAGCGCTGGCACAGCCGAGAAAGCCCACAACGTGATTGCCCATACGAATCCTTGCACTTCATACTGACCTTTTGCAAATGTTTTTGCTTGCATCCTGCGTATACTAGCAGATAGGACCTCGTATCCTATCTTCCCCCAACGATGCAAAGAGTAAGTATCGAAATTCAAAAACAATTGCAGATTCTCTCGCGATATCTTTACCATTGGATTCTTTGAGATTATAATCCCATAAGTCAAGATAGCAGCTCCAAGAGAAAGTTTCTCCTCAACAGACATTCTGTTCGCATTGTTTTCCAGCAGATCCATCAAACCTTTCACAGTGTACTTATCTGTCTGTCCTAGTATCCACATATATGGTTTTTTCAACTTCATGTGTGATGGCCCTGTTGTTTGGTTTGGGTTCTCCTCTGGTTCACAACAACGCAAGCCTGTGGTTAGGAAATACTCCCTGAGTGAAAGTCTCATCGGCTGGTCTGCAAATGCAAACCACAAGTCTTGTCCTTGTGTCAAAATTCTTCTTTGCATCAGGAAGTGGGAGATCTTTCCAGAAAACTGAATGTCCTCTCTCTTTGCAAGTTTGACAATCGGGTTGAGATAAGAGCTTTCGATCATACGCAACTCCCAATCTCCTAAAAGCTTTGTGACTTTATCCACATATAGTAGGTTCGAATGTTGCAGGACTACAATGGTGCTCTTTGGTTTAGTCCCGGGTTCATATATCCGTGCAGACAATTTCAGTGTTGTATCGAGTTCTTCATCCATCATCTGCAAAGTTTTATGATAACAATCTGTTTTAAATCAAAACTTGAAGTACATTCGAATGTAAATTAAACGGAATAGTGTTATTATCTATTCGAAACAAGATGAATAAAATCACCTAGAATCAAAAACAAAGAAACCAAGGCAAACTTGAAGTACATTCGTATGATGTTTTTCAAAACCGGTGAAATGTTAGGAAACTGGGGACATATGGAAAGAGATAGAGAGAGAGAGAGAGAGAGATTTATAAAGGTTTAGAAATCTTTATAAATCGGCAACCACAAAGGAGTTAGTGAAACAAATCGGAATTGCAACGAAAAACAAAGGGTGGTGATTCACAATTCACGAGTCACATATCTTTCAAAATCGGTAACTACAGCGAAAAAATCACAAATTTAACCAAAACAAATTCGTGATTCACAATTCGTGAATCACAAATCTTCAAAGTCGTAACAACAATGGATTCAGCGAAACAAATCACAGTTTAAATGAATAAAATAATAAATCATATACCTTTTTCGATTCGCGGATAGTTTTTTTGCCAACTCTGTCGACTCGCGAAGAAAAGTATTGAGAATGACCTAGAGATAATTTCTCCAACTCTCTCTCTCTCTCTCTCTCTCTCTCTCTCTCTCTCTCTCGACTCGTTATCAGAATTTTCGATCACGATTCACAATCGTCGTTTCGCCAACTTGATCTCTCTCTCTCGACTCGCCGATGACTTTTGATTTCTAATAAATAGTTGTATTCATAAAAATGTTCACCTTGTTGTAGTATTATTGAATAGTGGTACAATGAAAGGTGTACTTTTAAAATTTTCCCATAAACTATTGGAGATGGTCTTAGATTTTAAAGAATTTTTTTAAATAAAAAATAAGCAAAACATTATGCTTAATGGAAAAATTCAACTATAAAGTCGCAACTAAATTTATAATTGCAGGACTTTCTTTGCATTATATGTCGGACTTTCTTTGATTCTAATCACTTTCTAAATTTAATATAAGAGTTTTTCCACACAAAAAGGAGAAATTAACACTGTAGATCACTTATTGGACTTTCAATAACAAATACAGACACTTTTTGCAATGCAGGCACTTTTTTTCTTTCCTCTATCGCTAAGCAACGAAGTAACTGAAGTAACTGAAACACCCTTCATTCCTTTTTACCCCTGTTTGAGGGTGAGTTTTAGACACTGTGTAATTACTCCATCGATCTCCCACAGGTGAATTCACCGTCTAGCCCCATCAATTAATAACAGAGTTATCGCCTGGAGGAGATCATTCAACAATCCCCACATAGATTTACTCGCCGGCGTAGATCTGTACGTTTATTACTCTCCTGATACCTCGTCTACAATTTCTCAGCTCTGCCAGTAAAAATCAACATCCGGCGGTGCCATTGTTAGTTCACTGTACTTAAAGCCCGTGTCTTCAACCAAATGTGGCAACTAATCAAAATACCTCCATCCTATCAGCGACGTATAAAATGGACAGATTCAATGAACAGCATCTAATGGACATACTAAAGTAGATCCGTAGGAGCATAAGACAGCGGTCAGCATATGGACAGCACTGAATGGCCGAGCATAATAAACCATGTCAATGCTGAATGGACTCCTTGTACTTCGTTGCTGATTTCTGGTAACTGTGTTTTTGTCGCAGATAAAGCAAATAACAAAACACCCTCGTAGTGGACGTTTATTAAAATCATCAGCCTAATGTCAAGTGGACACGCGACAATGGACGGACTGTTTTCATCGATGACGTCTCTTGGGGGGCGCACGCAATCGTCATTCTTGGTGTTAATGCTTTGATGTTGTTCTTATGTTCCTGGTAGCAAGTGGACAGGAAATAGTCGCCAAAAAATAACTCGAGGTTTGGGATGACATGCTACAACTGCAGATGGATAGTATCTAGTGAACGAATACTTGAATCAATTACTATCCATACTCAGATGGATGCCGAAGGGGACACATGGATAGTACCACATGGACGAAATGATCTATCAGATACGAAAACTTGTTAGGATGACATGCTACAACTGCAGATGGACAGTATCTAGTGGACGAATACTTGAATCCATTACCATCCATGCTCAGATGGATGTCGAAGAGGACACATGGATAGTACCACATGGACGAAATGATCTATCATTGCACAGGCCACACGTGGGTCTCCGCCGGGAGTATTCAAACCTACCTGTTCATGTGTTCTTCACACCAGCCACACGATATCCATCTCTTCTATAAGTTCCATCTAGCAGCTAAAGGCCCACATTTTAAATGCTAAATTCTCAAATTCAGAGTATCTTTATCGACATCTGCGAGGAGAGAATGAGAGCTCCATCATTGGTTGTAGGCAGGCGAAGGCCAATATACAGTGGACAAAATGATGTTATCTCTTTTTCAGGGGCACAGTTTACTAGGTTTTAGGCGGGATTAGTACAATCCACTGAGGTTTAGGACTTCTAACCGTAGCCACAAGATTATAATATCCATTACCAAGAACAGTTGACTTTTATATCCACTTGCAACAATATCTATTTTAGAGGATTTAATTAACACAAACTGTTACTTCTTGTTGGGGTTTTTGTAATCGTCATCTCGACCAGCCAACAAGGTGGCACAAGAATGGACGAACACTGCCTTATTGTCTGCGGAAACTTAAGAATGGACGGTAGTAGATGAGACTTCGCCGTCGACCAAAGCCGTATGTCTAGGATTGTGGAGATACGTGAGGGGATGAGCATCCTTCAGCTAAAAGTAGCTGTCATCAAAGAGTTTTACCCGGGAGGCTCTGATGAAGTATCTGCAGAGCTTACCTATTGGCCCCCCAACTCGACCGAACAGGTGTCTAGGATAACAACACGACCGGTCTTGGTTACAAACTATGATGGGATTAAATTCTTCTTCAAACATTTCTGTATCACTCCATCGATGAACCTGTTTGACTCTTTTGCTGTGGACGCTAGCAATATTGGGAAGGATCAAATAAACAAGGACGTGCGCACAACTACTAATCCACCAATGCTGCATGAACACGCATCATCCTTTCATAAAAGTTTGCTGTCCTCCAGGTCTGACTTTCAGCCAGTCTCCGGTGAAGGAAGCTATTCAAAGAACGCCTCTTGTTTAAATACGCCGGCAGAGGAGGTCAAGAGCAAATGACCAGGGGATGGATTCTCCAACAATAAAATGAAAGAACCTCCTTTGCGATGAAGTTTTGTTACCTGACGCCCACCACCCTCTCTGACTTGGATGACAAAGAGATTCTCGACAAGGTGGAGCAAGCAGAAGAGGAATTCTTAAAAACTGGTCAATGTAAAACATCTACCCCGCCCCCCCCCCCCCCCCCCCCCCTCTGATTGTACCGATGATTCAGACTACAAAGACTACTGTGGTGTTTACCCAGACGTATCTGAGGTCAGACCAGTGGGGTATGACTCAGAATTTTGGGATCCTCTAATACACGACCCACTTGGCGGTTCTGATGCTGCAGAGATCACGTGTCCTGCATCCGAAGGCTTTGACGCCAAAGCTGCAGCCATGGGAAAGCGTAAGGAGTACATGTGCTTCACCAATGATGCCTTCGACCACTCGGTAATCACCGGCGACATCCCGCCAAAACACGAGGACCCATGGTTTCCAAAGTCCTCTACTGAAACGGGGGATACTTGCAATCCAGATCCCCCAGTACCCAATGAGCCAGGCTATGTAGGAGCCCGCTTCAGCAACAACATTAACTCACCATCATCAAACGGCATTTCGGAGGCCCGTCGCACACCGGGAGAGCAACCACATTTTCAGTTCAATATGTGGACATCCACTAATGGACAATCGGAAATGGACACAAATAGAGAGCCCCTACCGCATAGGCCACCTCCCACCGTCCCACATGGTCAGAACCCGACATGTACTCACTCTTTTGGACGAGATCACATGGACACCAATGGACTACCTACATCCTTAGATGGAGTTGACGACGACGACGAGTTTGATATTCCGCCTCTATTCGACGATACCATGTACGTCGAGAACGTTATACCAGACCAGGATATCGATTCAGTCAACAAAGGGATCCATGTCGGTAAGCTATTCAATAGCAAGCAAGAGTGTCGTATTGCCTTGGCCATCTACGCAATCAAAGGGATGTTCACTTTTCGACATAGCCAGACAAAATGTCACTATTTCGTCCTAAGCTGCACGGATCATCTGTGCCATTGGAGAGTAATGGTGAGAGAGGTCAGTGGATGTGGATACTACGACATAAAGAAGGCAGATCTCGAGCACACCTATTCCCGTGAGACACGAGATGCATACAAGAAGAAAGCATCCGCTCGGGTGATTACTATCGTCTTCAAAGCCAAGTTTGGCAACCCTGAGAACGGCCCACGTGCAGTGCAGCTGCAAAGGCTAGTTTTGGAAGAGCTGAGAGTCAACGCCCCGTATATGAAATGTTATCGGGCTATAGGCATGGCTGTCGGTGAATTACACGGCTCCGGTGAGGATTATTACGCTACTATCCCCATCCATTTGCATCTCCTTAAGATGGCCAATCCAGGTACTGTCGCTGATTTGGAAATTTATAATGACGAAAACGGCATTCAGAGATTCTTTTACGTCTTCATTGCTTTTGGTGCCTCCATTTTTGGTTATAGGAAAGTAAGACTAATACCTATTCCGGACGGCACTCATCTGTGGGGCAAATACAAAAGTGTTCTGCTAATGACATGTGGATAAGATGCTAATTTTCAAGTCTATCCACTCGCCTATGCTGTCGTGGATGGCGAGAACGATGCGTCTTGGACCTGGTTTTTGCAGAAGCTTGAAAAAATACTAGCAGACAGCCCAATATTGACAATAGTTTCAGATCAACACCGAACCATTTACAAGGCCATTAAGATTGCATATCCCAAGGCAAAGCATGGAACCCAGGATTGGGGAAGTTGGTTACTTCTGCTGTTTTCATGTATAGAGTTTCCACTTTCAAGACCATATACGATAAATTGAGGGCCTCCAACTCTGCAGTTGCGAAATACCTTGAGAGAATTGTAATGGCTCACTGGAGTAGAGTGTATTGTAAGGGTGAGCGTTCCAAAATCATGACAACCATTGCTTGTGAGCAGTTGAACAACGCATTAACGAAGGGCACGGGGTCTCGTATAGTCTTGCTTCTCACCTTCATCCAGGAAATAATGACAAAATGGTTTAATGCTAGGCGTCGAAAATCACTCAGATGTCGTGGCAACATTCCCCCGAAGATCGACAAACTTCTGACGGAGCATATAAAAGATGTCAAAGGCAGCAAGATCAATGCTATAAATGACTGGACTTGCCAAATAGTAGGTATCTTCGGTGAGAAACACAAGGTTTGCTTGACGGATAAGACCTGCTCTTATAAAAAAGTACAATCTGCTTAAGATCTCATGTGGCCATGCGTTGCTTGCAGCCGACAGCTTGCAGCTATCCTACAGTTCACTTGTTGGTACAGAATACCAAGTAACAACCTGGCAGGACACTTATTCCAGCGTCGTTCACCCCGTCGAAGACGCAGCAGATGAAGATATCCCACCAAAGGTTCGCAAGGTACTTCTGTTTCCCCCTAGGAGCCGTAGAGCTGCAGGCAGGAGGAAAGAAACATGTTATCTATCCGCTGGCGAAGTTTCTGTAAGCACAAATTTTTTTATCTAACGACTTTGTATTTTTAATCTCTAAAATTATAGTTTGGAATTGCTTCCAGGCACCCAGGGTCAAGAAGTTGGTCTCCAACAAATATACTAAGTGTTTCTAACCAGGACACAACCGTAGTACATGCCCTTTGCCCTAACTAATATGGGTCTGATCGAGATCCCTGTCACATAAACGTGGATAGCAGCACGACCCTCTATTATGTGCTCTCCACCGTCGCCGTGTAAGGATGGGTTTTTCTTTTTAAGAACGAAGCAACTGCAAACAAGGGGGGAGTTTTTAATAGTTTTTCTTTTTGGGGCACTCTGCTGTCACTCGTCATTTCCTGTAATTCTATGCAATCTCCACTCGTACTTAATCTTAACACTTCAATATCATTATGTTTGATTCACCACGCTGCAACAGCCCCCTTAGCAACTGACACCATAACCAGGCTGTCGTAAATACAGAGTAACACATAAACCTTTGTCCAAACACGAAGTCTCTGGCTAATGTACGATCACATGACACAATTATTACCCAGATGGAGAAAACCTTGTGGACGAGTTATTTAACCATGTATTATCTACGCTTGGGTTAGTTTTACTGGCACCAGTTCAACATACTCTCTAGGTGCAATTTTTATTCTCTCCACTGCACTTAAACCTCTGTCTCTTGCCCCACAAACACATCAATCCCATCCACCATCAATAATGGATGAACTACGCTGTCCCTCGTCAAATAAATTACGCAGATGGACAAAGCCTTGTGGACGAGTCATTTAACCAAGTCTCTTCGACGTGTAGATTAGTTTTACCTCCACCACTTCAACACACTCTCTAGGGGCGATTGTTATTATCTTCGCTGCACGGAAACCTCTGTCTCTTGCCCCACAAACACATCCAACCCACCCACAATACACAATGGACTAACTACGCGATGCCTCCTCAAATGGATAAGCTACGATGGACATAATAAACCAGCGACATCATGGAAGCCATACCCCTACAATAAGTGTTTCTTCTCGCCGGCCCTTACAGCACGAGAACACAATCACATGAGCGAACAGAGATAGCCGTGCTCCTGTTTTCTGAAATGGACACAATTAAATTCTTCTGTACATAAAGCACCGTGTCCTCTCCAATAGGCTACAATAGTCACCATATCGCATGATCTAAAATGTTTACACATTGCAACATCCCCCTATCGTGGACGGATTCCATGTCGGCGGGTCATTACGTTGTCCACGCGAACATGTTCGTTTGTGAAAAGCATCGTTTCAACTTTCTACAAAAAGATGTTCTCGAAGATCTGCAAATCACAAATACAGCGTCGTTTGTGACCTGCGCCGAAGGGGAGGAATAAAGAAACTGAGAATTGAGGAATTAGGGTTCCTTTTCTTTTTCCGATTCGGACAAACTCTTCTCTCCGTATCTTACCCTGATATTTATCAGTCCGTACCGCGCTGACAACTCAGGTAATTGGCCTCAAAACTTTCTAACATTGATCGCAGCTCGTTTATCTCACTTATACATGATCTGGAATTATATGCTACTTCTAAGATCCGAATTGAGATGTTCGGAATTTTGTGTTTTAGAGCTACCATCCTTAAAAACGTCTTCATTACTACTAGATACTATGTCAAAATCTTGACTAGAGATGGGCATTCACAGCTACACTCAGTCATCAAGTGGTATCGGTAGCGATTCAGATGGTCGGATGAGATTAGCTGCTAATGTAAACCCCAATAAAGGAGGATGGAATCCTTAAGGAGTGCTACTTCGGAGCTCGGGCAATTGTTGACACTTGCCACTCCAGGATGGACCCGGGAAGGAGGTTCTTCATGTGTCCAAACGTAAGAGATGGAGATTGCCATATCAGAAAGTGGTGGGATAAGGGAGTGATGGAGGAGCTGGCTCTCATTCAGTCATACTATGGACTAGTGGCAGAGATGTTAGAGGTTGTCACTTTCCTTGAGGACTTCTCTGAGGATACATAAGAAATTAAGCAGCTTCAGCAGAAGCAGAAACTGAGTGGGGAGAAGATTGCGAGGCTGGAGGTGTTGCTTGAGGAGATGAAGAAGGAAAAAAATTGATCAACACACAACCTCAAGGGGCAGATTGCGGGTGTTTCTGACATTGTCCTTCTTGCTCTTCTGATGATGTGGTTCTACTAAGCTCTAACAGTAACCGGCAACGACTATATGTTATGCTACTTAATCAGCTTGTAATCAATGTTGACATTCCGTTATGCTATTTAAACACCAAACATTATCTTCTCATGCCTTTAAGTAATGATCTCTTAGTATCTACTATTTTAGTCTACATTCTGTATTTTTCAAGCTAAGGTGAGCTGCCTACTGATCAAAGTTGTAACTCAGGTCCATTCATACTGAATGTGATGTTCTAGGGGATCTCCGTCTTAACGTTTGTCCATCCATTCGTGTCCATTCAGTTATTCGCTGTTAACATGTGGTTTTACAACAAACGGTGATAACGCCCATGAATAAGTTACCCCCGCCATCCACAGTATAGACTGGATCGAGACGACTGAAAATCAAATGAATTATCTAAAATGTTTACACATCGCAACACCTCCTTACCAACACCAACGCCTTCTTGACGTGGTGGGATAAGTCGTATCGTTCATTAGGTTATCAACTCTCACATGTCCATTTTTGTGAACATCTACTCTCTTCTGAGTGTATCTAATAACGGGAACGGATCTGTCGCGAAACGCTAGTAGGCCAAACATGCAACCTTTTCAGATGGATAGTCATACATATTTTCATGTGAACCACATATAAAAACAGCAGATGCCCAATTACTAAGTGGGACACAAATTGGCACATAACTATACAATTCAAAATTTAGGGGTTACACCTTCAACGCCAAGCCGCATCGTACAAAAGAAACCATCAACTTAACTTTACGCCTTCAGAAAGTCCAGGATAAGTCATGTTATTCTAACAAAAAAACATCAGGAGAGAACTAGCAGCTCCCACATCAAGACATCCCTCCCCTTTGAAGCCTTGTTTTACTCTGCTTCTTTAGAGATTCCACCTTCTTCCTTTACTGCCGCACCATCCCCAGCCGCAGATACATAACTACGAATGTGTCCTTCTGTTAATGTCTCCGTTAATGCTTTATTTTCATTCTCTAGGCAACAGATCTTGTCTCTTGCCTCAAGTAAACTTTGCTTTTGCCAAAGACACGGACGCTATGTGTCTATACAACAGAAAAAAACTGTGTTTCTCGCACCTGTAATAGCATCTACCAGGGTTCTCATCAGTCCATGCCTTACACTGATTTGTTACTCTACCACAGTAGCACAGTGGGCCTTCTAACTCTTTGTTGCATTTCCTACCGAAGTTCCCATATGATGCAGAGCTACTGCTCCTTCTCATCCCTCGTCTATTCGCATATATGCTTACTCGTCATACATTCTTTACCATCTTCAGATCTAATACCTCCTAAGTCACACACTACTTACGGTTCTCGATAAGGTTTACACTTGCAACATCTCCATGACGTGGCTACATATCAGTTCTCCATTCATTCTTTTGTCCAGAAGCTTTATTTTCATTCTCTAGGCAACAGATCTTGTCTCTCGCCTCAAGTAAACTTTGCTTTTGCCAAAGACACGGACGCTCTGTGTCCATACAACAGAAAAAACTGTGTTTCTCACACATGTAATAGCATCTACCAGGGTTCTCATCAGTCCATGCCTTACACTGATTTGTTACTCTACCACAGTAGCACAGTGGGCTTTCTAACTCTTTGTTGCATTTCCTACCGAAGTTCCCATATGATGCAGAGCTACTGCTCCTTTCCATCCCTCGTCTATTCGCAGATATGCTTACTCGTCATACATTCTTTACCATCTTCAGATCTAATACCTCCTAAGTCACACACTACTTACGGTTCTCGATAAGGTTTACACCTGCAACATCTCCATGACGTGGCTACATATCAGTTCTCCATTCATTCTTTTGTCCAGAAGCACATATCCATCACCAACGAACATCTACACAACTATGTTTTTGCGATTATTGACTCTTTCCCGTTGTACACAATTTTACTATACCATCAACCATTCTTATAAAAGACGCCCAAAACATGCACCACAGCTTTCCAATGTAAACAAACAATACACAATAATTATATTAAAACATGTTACACCGGTAAATTACATATATAACAACCACCCTTAAAGTCCACTTACTTCTACTGCCGAACACAATGCCACCAAATCATCCGAAACCAAAAACAGACTCCCCACCGAAATACAGTATCAGTTATATCCTACACTATCATTCATGGGTTACCAAAACTTGTGTCATACCAAGCAGATACCCACTACCTTCCCAAAAAATAACCATATTATGCTTCTACTCAAGCGGTCCTACACCTTACAACAATACAGGGGTACAACTAAATCCCTGTAAAGGTCCATAGCAAACTGCTTCCTAAAGTTATCCATTATCTCGTCAGTAAGGCCGAACATGTGAGGCGACGGATCTCCTGCTACATGCAGTTCCATAAATTTGACAGCCACGAGGCCACAATCGCCAGATCTTTTGTTCAAGTAAATATCGCCTACTCTTGTCCACCTGTATGGTCTAACCCCACTGAGCTGCGACGTCTGTGGACAAAGACTTTTCACGGCATACGGCAGCATTACGCAAATTGGGCTCATCCACCATACCACCTCTTCATCGGTTCTCAAGGGAGGGTACAGTTCCAAAACCTCAATGTGACCGAAACTGAGATTAATAGCCAACCCAACCCAATGCTCGTCCGCCCAACACATGGGCATGTATACAGTCTCGGTGTCTTCAACTTACCTTCTCCCAAGAACATTCACGTAAGGGTTCAGATCATACCACCTCAGCAGTTATTTGTCCATCGAAGCTTTGAACTGGCGTTTCTACTTCAACAAAGCTCTTATCAAGTTTGGTTAGCAGAAGGCAACATGTTCATCTCCAACCTTCTTCGACGACAGCCACCCCATCAGGACCTCCATATGCTGTAATAAAACAAAACTACTCAACATTATCTCCATCTAGTTTTCCATATTATACATTCAACTTAAGCGGACAATACCAAAGAGGAAATTGTTGTTAAACGCATACCTAGGCTTCGTTACGTGTTTCCTGCACAGGGGACTTAGTATTACGACAACATAAAACCTTACCAAAAGGGAAATGCAATAGTACAACCAAACACTACTCGTACACATAACACTTCACTTACACGGCACCGGCCATCATATGTGTATGTTCAAACAACTTATAAACATCTGCATCCAACTCGCGAATTGGAGTATCTAATGGCTGCCTCTTCTTCTGCTTCAATGCACCAGCCAGCTGTACTTCAAGCTTAGAAGGAACATGTTAACAAACGGCGGTGGGAGAGAGGAATCGCTCACATCATGGGGATCCTCAGACAGCGGCTCTTTACGCTTCTTATTCCCCTGCTTTTTTGGGTCCTCTTTAACAGCATCATGCCTCTCCGTTGCAATATGCCATGACAAACAGACCACATCAACCACGCACATTACTGTCGTCCAACAAAATTAACAAACTTACTACACCCACTTCAGCGGAGGTGGCTTCGTGCTGCTCATGACCCCCCATCGTCTCCACTTTCTCTACCTAGTACAAGTCCACTGCCATGTCAGACAACTATAATAATATACTCCCTCTTTTAGTACCACAAATATAATGTACATGTTTGCTGCCCACAGTTACAGGTTCTCCCTTATCCTCGCTCAACGGGTCAGGCTTCTCGCCCACCTACAACCACACAACAACGAAGTTAATCTTGAGGATTGGAACCGAAATAAACAACCAACATATGTTATCAATCACAGTTAGCACATTTACCTTCTCGCTGTCCATCTCATCGTGTCCTTCCGGCATCAAGTCACCAATGACGTCCTCACCCAAATCTCTCCTTCGCTGCTTGGATTAGTCGTCAATAATATGTCCAGCAACCTACCATCACTAACGACGCCAACATTCATTACTCACTCAGCAACAACTGAACACGCTTTTTAAACCATTTAAATTTCACGAACAAAATATTTGAAATTTGGAGCTTAAGGGCGTTTCTCTCACTAAACCAGTTTACCTCGCCAGTGTCTATCTCTTCATGTCCATCTGTCTTCGATTGCACTACCACGTCTTCAACCAATACATTGTCCACCTGGTCTTTTCCATCCGCATTCGTCTCTACAACGATGTCCTCATCCATAATGTTCTCCCCCAAGTCTTCTCCATCCGCAATCGTCTCTACACTGAAGTCCTCACCCACATCACTCACAACTCTCCCACGCTGCTCGCAATGCTCCTCAACAATATTCCCAACAACCTGTAAACATCAGTCAACCAAAATACATCCATCAATCAATCAATACGCATCAATAGCTAAGAAGCGTCGTGAATAATAACACTAAAATTACATTTATACCTCCGCGGCGAGCGTTGATCATTCTCCAGTGAGAGGCTCGTCCATAATAGGCTGCACTTCTCCAGTATTATCCTTAACACAAAAAACCAACCAGTTCTACATAAATTATATACGGCCACGATAAACTGTATTTACTAGGAATGTCTTTTACCTTATTAAATCCCAACTCCCTTTCTATCAAGTTAGCCTCCTCTGCTGTGTTCTGACTCTTCTCCTCAACAGGTCTATCGACTGCATCCACACCCTAGTATGCAAAAAATAATACCATCACTTGTCATCTAACAGCCATAAAATTCCTCCGCCAAAGGTTACTCGAAAGCTTACAAGTTACAACTGCTTTCTCCTTAGAGTTCTCAAATCTCTGCCCACCACCCCCTTTGCTAACGCCAACCTCAACCAGGCTGCGGATATCATTAAGTACACCTGCCATTATATCATCCGCCTCCTCAACACCTACGCCTTATGGTATTCACAGCCGTTATCATATCAACATCAACATATTTAACTAAGACGTCTATAAAATGCACAAATATTTTTAACCTATAAACAAAAAAAACCAACATTTTGCAGATGTTGAAGCATTGTTGAATATCACACTTTCAGAGAGACTATTACCTCGCTAGTGACAGAAACACCTCCATCCACTGCTGTTTGTCCATCCACAGCATCCTGCCAATTAACTGCAAGTTTAGTAAGTAGCTTCTAATCTTTTATAGGCAAACATAACATATCTCCTACCTTAGCAGGAGAAACACGTCCACCACATTCCACACTACTTCCCTTGTTCTGCTTCCAGGAAGGGGTAAACACTTCATCGCCCACTACACCACTTATGTGGACCCCAGGTGGGGATTGGCAACTTCTTCCCCTGGCAGCAAGACTCCCTAAATGCGAGGAACGTCTCACTGGACTACTGCCAAGTCGTCTCCCACTACCCAATCGACCACCACCATTTAATAGATTGTCAAGCTTGTTCGTCTCCCACCTTCACATGCTCTGAAATACCTTCGATCTGGCTCAACAACCATTGCTTTATATCCTCGGCCTCCGTTGGTGCGGCAGCAGTTATATCTCGAGCGACTTTTTCTTTTTCCTACTAGAAGGCTTTTTATTCTTTGACGGCGTGGCCTGCAGATTATTCCCGCCCCTCTTACTATGGTCCAATATGTGCCTCGCATGTTCCAGTTTCATAGGTAGTGGCTTAAATTCCTTCAGCGGCATACTCGTGTCCCCTCCTGGCTATTCAAGTTTACTGAAAATATGTCGGCTTTTAATCCTCTCCATCAGATATTTCACCGGCTATCATTTCTCTCGTCATCCCATTTACCCCAACTTTCCTTTTCAAATAATTGTGAGTCTACATCAAGTAGTGAACATACCTGTAACTGAAAAAGAGAAATGACGAACTAGTGAGCCAACATCATCCCACCCTAAACTACAAGATAATAGTATATTACATGCTCCAACAACTTAAATTGGTCTCCGCTTCCACAGATTGCACTACCTCTAAACTTAAAGACCACTGTCTCGGAATTGAATCATTTGGATGATCAAGCAACATTGGGAACTCGTCGGGATTCTTCAGCTTCTCCCGCAGCCCAGGCACGAGTTCAAACACCAGAAGCTGAAGCGCTAGTGCAAATCCACATACACTCATCGTCCCGAAGCTTAGTTGTTGTCTTAATGTCTACACATCCCTATCACGTTTGTCACGATTCGTCAGTTCAGGTATCATAGTCCCTATAGTGTGGTAGAAGGACTCCCGCCCCCACGGAAAGTCGAACATATGTTCAACATCATCTACCATTCATACATATCGCGGACTGGGACGATGCACCTGCATGTTAGCGACAATAACGCCATCTACAATGCAGATGATGGCAAGTTGTAAACTTCTTCTAGGTGGCATATCCACTTATACCTCAACATAATCACCAAGTTAGCTATGGTTGTACTGTTGACGTCTGATATAACATTCCTCCATGCCTGATCAGGAACCCAATTTTTGTTGAACGGAGGAAATTTAGGATGATATCCCTCCAGAAACTCTCCACAACCTAAACCTGTCAAAGCTCCAAATTCGGGAAGGGAGAAACGGAAAGGATGTCCACCAAACATAATCCATAATTCATACTTTTTGTTCGTGACAAGCTGCTTGGACAACAGCGCGTGGATGAGCTTTCCAGACACATGTGTCCTGTGGACGGGTATGTCGAATAGCCTTCCAAGGCAAGACGATCGGAGAACGTCCCACTCTATACTACCGCGTAGGGTATTGTGTATCGTCGTTAGAATGTCCAGGTTCGAGTAAACATTGATTCGCACTTCTGGGAACTGATCCATCACAAACAATCTCGTCGGCAGTTTTCTATCCCATTTCTCTGATAAATCTTCGCCTGCAATCAAATTTGAACACCGAATTAGTTCCCTAAAAACAGACAACATTGTACAAAGCATAACTAGAAAACAGAAATTAATCATTAGAAACAGCGAAAACCAAATCTAACAAATTTACCTTCCATCACGAACACTCAACACTTCCTGGTGTGCCGGCTTCCCCCTTTCTCAGGTAAAACACGAATTCAAGTACTTCAGCGACGAAGATCTAGGGTTATTTCAAACACGGCGGCGATGGTAACTCTCCTCTGCCCTAACCAACACCAGTAAATAAAATTTTATCAACCCCGTCCCATAATTACCTGCACTCAGTGAAATAATAAAAGAGGGATAGTAACGTCTTTCAACACACAAAAAGTGCTCATCTCGCAATGTGTCCACTTTGTAAACAGAAGTCATAGAAGTGTCCATAAGTGAAAATAACTCACACAAAAAGTAAGGCCGGAACTAAAGTAAATAGTCAAATATAGAAAGTGAAAAAGAATTGTTTTTCTATCCATTTTCTTCTTTGTTAATGTTTTGAGTAATGCCATTGAATGGCAAAAGATCGGTACAAAATTAAGGAAACAACAAGATCTATTTATAGATTTTATCATAAAAATATTTTACCACAAATGTAGTCAATTTTAACCCACGCGCTCAGTATAATTCTTCAAAATTTCTTCATTAGTTTAATAATTTTAGAATTATGAATAAATGTTTCTATGTACAAATTGCTCAATCTTTTACTATTCCAACATAATTTTATTTATGCCAAGCATGAGTGTTTTTGTTTCCTCCATTCAATTTATCTTTCCCACTCAATTACTCAATCATATCATCTCTTATTCGTTTCCTCTTAACCCTTCTTCTTTACCTCATCATCTCCAAATCATTTCGTAATCGCAACAAAACTCCTTACCAATCCCCATCCTATGATGATCCTCCTTCCCTTCCCCCAATCGCTTGTAACGCCATATGTTTTCCAGATCACTGCTTTTCCTCTCTTTCTACATCGAGTTTGGTCCTTCCGGATCCAAAACCGATCCAGATAATCCACTGACATTCTATAAATAAAAATATATCATCTACATATATAAATAATTTTTTATAATTTAATACTACTCTATAAATAAATATTTATATATATATAGTATTAAACATATATATATATATATTTTATAACTTAATATCACTTTATAAATAAAAATATATAAGTATATATTTTATTAGATATCTATATATAAAATATTTACATAACAATAGTACTTCATGGTAAGTTTTGTACATATAAAAACCAATCTAGACATGTACAATACGATATAAAATATTTACATAACAATATATAATCTTTTATTATTAAATTTATATATATAATAATTTTAATGTATAATACTCTATAGCGTAATTTAAAAACAATACAATATATTGAAAATATAATCTGTTTACATTAGGTGGTATATTGAAAATATTATCTCTTCATTAATGGTGAATTCTACCCGCATAATATATGACAAACATATGTAAATAGGCAATAAAATTTTATGTCTTTTAGCATTTTTTTAATTCCATATAATCTATATCTTGTCAATCTATCATATTATTAATTGAGAAGCAAGTTGGACTGTGGTTGAGAGTTATGATGGTTAATTACCTTTTGCACCTTATGTGAATTTACATTAATTACCTTTGATGAAATTAACAAATTAATATAATCTAATTTTTAATTGATTTTCGTTTTTTAAATCTAAGTTTACAAATTCGAATTTATATCATATAATTCAGTTTACTAAAAAAAGGTAACTAGCATAAATAAATAAAAAATCTTAATTATTTCATTTAACTAATTTTAATTTGATTGTTCAGACGTCATAGTCCCTATAGCGTGGTAGAACGTAGAAGGACTCCCGCCCCCACGAAAAGTCGAACATATGTTCAACATCATCTACCATTCATACATATCGCGGACTGGGACGATGCACCTGCATGTTAGCGACAATAACGCCATCTACAATGCAGATGATGGCAAGTTGTAAACTTCTTCTAGGTGGCATATCCACTTATACCTCAACATAATCACCAAGTCAACTATCGTTGTACTGTTGACGTCTGATATAACATTCCCCCATGCCTGATCAGGAACCCATTTTTTGTCGAACGGAGGAAATTTAGGATGATATCCCTCCGGAAACTCTCCACAACCTAAACTTGTCAAAGCTCCAAATTCGGGAAGGGAGAAACGGAAAGGATGTCCACCAAACATAATCCATAATTCATACTTTTTGTTCGTGACAAGCTGTTTGGACAACAGCGTGTGGATGAGCTTTCCAGACACAGGTGTCAAGTGGACGGGTATGTCGAAAAGCCTTCCAAAGCAAGACAACCGGAGAACGTCCCACTCTAGACTACCGCGTAGGGTATTGTGTATCGTCGTTAGAATGTCCGGATTCGAGTAAACATTAATTCGCGCTTCTGGGAGCTGATCCATCGCAAACAATCTCGTCGGCAGCTTTCTATCCCATTTCTCCGATAAATCTTCGCCTGCAATCAAATCTGAACACCGAATTAGTTCCCTAAAAACAGACAACACCGTACAAAGCATAACCAGAAAACAGAAATTAATCATTAGAAACACCCAAAACCAAATCTAACCAATTTACCTTCCATCACGAACACTCAACACTTCCCGGTGTGCCGGCTTCCCCTTTTCTCAGGTAAAACACGAATTCAAGTTCTTCAGCGACGAAGATCTAGGGTTTTTTCAAACACGGCAGCGATGGTAACTCTCCTCTGCCCTAACCAACACCAGTAAATAAAATTTTATCAACCTCGTCCTGTAATTACCTGCACTCAGTGAAATAATAAATGAGGGATAGTAACGTCTTTCAACACACAAAAAGTGCTCATCTCGCAATGTGTCCACTTTGTAAACGGAAGTCATAAAAGTGTCCATATGTGAAAATAACTTACACAAAAGTAAAGTCGGAACTAAAGTAAATAGTCAAATATAGAAAGTGAAAAAGAATTGTTTTATCTATCCATTTTCTTCTTTGTTAATGTTTTGAGTAATGCCATTGAATGGCAAAAGATCGGTACAAAATTAAGGAAGCAACAAGATCTATTTATAGATTTTATCATGAAAATATTTTACCACAAATGTAGTCAATTTTAACCCACACGCTCAGTATAATTCTTCAAAATTTCTTCATTAGTTTAATAATTTTAGAATTATGAATAAATGTTTCTATGTACAAATTGCTCAATCTTTTACTATTCCAGCATAATTTTATTTATGCCAAGCATGAGTGTCTTTGTTTCTTCCATTCAATTCGTCTTCTCCACTCAATTACTCAACCATATCATCTCTTATTTGTTTCCTCTTAACCCTTCTTCTTTACCTCATCATCTCCAAATCATTTCGTAATCGCAACAAAACACCTTACCAATCCCCATCCTATGATGATCCTCCTTCCCATCCCCCAATCGCTTGTAACGCCATATGTTTCCCAGACCACTGCTTTTCCTCTCTTTCTACATCGAGTTTGGTCCTTCCGGATCCAAAACCGATCCAGATAATCTACTGACATTCTATAAATAAAAATATAACATCTACACATATAAATAATTATTTTATAATTTAATATTACTCTATAAATAAATATTTATATATACATATAGTATTAAACATATATATATATATATTTTATAACTTAATAGCACTTTATAAATAAAAATATATACGTATATATTTTATTAGATATCTATATATATAATATTTACATAACAATAGCACTTCATGGTAAGTTTTGTACATATATAAACCAATCTAGACATGTACAATACGATATAAAATGTTTACATAACAATATATAATCTTTTATTATTAAATTTATATATATAATAATTTTAATGTATAACACTCTATAGCGTAATTTAAAAACAATACAATATATTATTAAAATTAACAAGTTTTCTGTATTATCTCCTCATTAATGGTGAATTCTACCCGCATAATATATGACAAACATATGTAAATAGGCAATAAAACTTTATGTTTTTTAGCATTTTTTTTAATTCCATATAATCTATATCTTGTCAATCTATCATATTATTAATTGAGAAGTAAGTTGGGCTGTGGTTGAGAGTTATGATGGTTAATTACATTTTACTCCTTATGTGAATTTACATTAATTACCCTTAATGAAATTAACAAATTAATATAATCAAAATTTCAATTTATTTTCATTTTTTTAAATCTAAGTTTCCAAATTCTACTTTGTA